TATTTTTTTTTTAATGTAAAAGATTTCATAAGAGGGGATTTCTATTTTCCTGAAATTACCCCTTCATTATTATATAGGGGATTTGATCATGATCATGTTACAGCCTAACAGATGTAACATGAAACGTGGCATGAAAAGTGCCGGTGGGCTAATTGTTGGGCATCAAGGGTCTAGAAGGATGTACAGGTGACCAGAGTCTGTGTCTTGGCAACCCTAATACAGACTTCTTTCAACTCTGACTTCTTCAGCCACCCTATAAGCCTTCAGCAGAGGAGAAACTCTGGGATGTGTCACTGCATTGGGCACACAGGCAGGGGCATATCTGCCGCATGGCAAACAAGGCGTTTTCCTTGGGTAGCACTTTCCAGGGGGGTGGCGCTGCCCCCCAAAACAGTGAGGCGAGCTGGGCTGCACAGAATCCAGCAGCCTCAGCTGCCTCATCAAGAGGAGGAGGAGGCAGCGAGGAGGTGGGTCCCCGCGTCTTTGGTTGTCGGCTTGGGAGAAGGAGGAGGAAGCTCCCCGTACCCTGCAGCTTTGGTCCGTGGCTTGGGCAGAGGAGGCAGGTCCCCCTAAATTTGGTCTGGCGGCTTGGGAGGAGGCGGGTCCCTGGAGCTCCGATCGGAAGCCGGTGTTCTATCAGATGACGCAGTCATGCATTCCAACATAATGGGGTCTATTCACTAAGCTGCCGTAGGCAACCGAGTGAATGACCGACCTGAAGTGAAGTGAGCCGAACACTGTTCGGCTATTCACTTCAGGCTGGTATGGCTGATTTCAGCCGTATATCGGCTGAAATCAGCCGTACATCGGCTTGCTGCGCGTGGCTTCGGGTCGGAAGAACATGCTCAGCATGTTCGGCCGACACGAAGTGCAGAAGGAGTTTGACTCAGCCGATCCAACATCTGGATCGGCTGAGCCGAACCTCTGGCAGGCTACTCACTGCTGTTCGGGCTATTCTTAAAGATGCCGAACAGCAGTGAGTGAATAGCCGAATGCCGCCGAGCGGCATTCGGCTCGGCTGTTTTGCTCGGTCCCTCAGAGGCACCGAGCAGAACAGAAAAAGAGTAAAAAAAGTAAATATAAAACGATTGTGCGGAGCTAGCAGTGACAGCTAGCTCTGCCCAATAGTTTCCTATTGTCCGGCGGCTCTGCTGCTGTCAAAAAAATCAATTAAAAAAAACTCTCCCGGGCGCTCTGTGCCGATGCATATGCGTTCGGCTCGACTGAGCCGCTCGGCCACGATACAGCACCCTTTCGGTTCTACTGAACCGAAGGGGGTCCTGGGGCCGAAGCTAGCCGAAGGATCACTGGCTTATTTTAACACTCCTGTAGTTATGTTACTGTCTGTGGATCACCCCCCTCCCCCTCCGCATGTGCAGTACAAGCACTATGCTGTGAGGAATGTCGGTCCGACTCGTGTGACCGTTGGAATGTGAGATCACACATTGCCCTGCAGTCACAAAGTCAGATACATTATGTTGGAATGCATGACCGGGTCACCGGAAATGACAGGGTACCCATTCCACTGCAGTCACAAGATCTGGAAGAACACCGGGTTCCCTAAGTGCCGGTCGGGCGGCGGAGGAGGCCGTGGTGCCATTATGGTCATTATCGTTATGGTGCCCCCAAACCAAAATATACCACTGCACACAGGGTTATTTACAGTCTATAGGAGACGTTCATAGTGTGTTAAATCTACACTGCTAAAACAGCTTAGCAAATGCTTCTTCCTGCTTGAAAGGGTCATTGTGACTAGGGAGTCTTCCTTAACAGCCTCCATAAAAGGTTACCCCTCCTACCACCGGCCTCATAGCAGCCCCATGGATTTTACTTGAGTGCCATCTACTGGTTAATTATAGTATGGCAGTACAGACCAACTCACTGGAACAAGGCAAAAATAAAAACCCAAGCAGTAGGTCCTCTTGCACAGTAAGGGTTAATTGCTCATTAAGTTTAGGGGTTCAGGGCTGAGAAATAGAGAGAGAGAGAGAGAGAGAGAGAGAGAGAGAGAGAGAGAGAGA